CACTTTTCTCCTAACAATCAAAAAATCAATTCTCAAAATCACTCCCAAACAGGCTCTCAGTTTACAGTCTTATATTTCAGTTAATAGCACAACCCGGCTCGGTGTGCTCGTGTGCTCAAATCAAAATGTACTCTTTCAACGATTCATTTTATATTTCTCTCCTTTGCGTTTGACGATTAATGTACTTAACAAGAATGCTTGAGAAAATATTTCTATTTTTCTAAATACTATTCAATAGTTTTGGTTGAGCAAGCTCAGATTTGATATGTTCATCATCCTACTTTCCAATGACAGTTGCTGATCCAAAAGCTACCAGTGTTACCGAGCCTCTGTTACTTAATGCCGTTCGAGGAAAAGACGTCGAGAGACCCCCAGTTTGGCTCATGAGACAAGCTGGGAGATACATGAAGGCAGGTTTAGGCCTGGGTTTTGAAGTTCATATATGTTGTTTTACTTTGTTAAACATAATGTGGAAACTTCTTCTTTTCTTTTCCATATTCATTATTTATACAGTATGTTAATAAAATCGTGGACTTGAAAGAAAAATTCAACTTTTGTTATTTCCAGACTCTAGCCCAATACATAGTAACATTATGTGATACTGATCTATTGAACCCGCTGCTTTTTCCTCTACTTTTATAGAGTTACCAAATCATCAGTGAGAAGCACCCATCCTTCCGTGAAAGATCAGAAAATGTAGATCTTGTGGTGGAAATTTCTCTACAGCCATGGAAAGTGTTTCAGCCTGATGGAGTAAGATGCTTTTCTGTAGATAGTATCTTTTACACTTGAGCAATTGATTGAACCGGCATGTATGCAAAACATTCTCCCACGCACAACTCCTGTATATTATGTATTTGGTCTAAATGATCATTGTAGATGCTCCACGTATGAAGTGTTTATGTATGCTCAACTAGCTAATTCTCATCCCAAAATACGAAATAGGAATTTATTTCATAAGCTGAAATCTGCATATCGATAATTGCTATCCACTGATTTTCTCTTGACAAATTTTTTGCAGGTCATTTTATTCTCAGATATTCTTACCCCCTTGTCTGGGATGAATATACCCTTTGACATTGTAAAAGGTAAGGGTCCTGTCATTTTTGATCCAATACAGACAGCTTCTGATGTCGAAAAAGTAAGAGACTTCACTCCTGAAGAGTCAGTTCCATATGTTGGGGAGGCACTAACAATCTTGCGAAAAGAGGTCTAACTCGGTCTGCCCTCGTCCTTATTTAATTTATCATTATTTTAGGTGAATTTTCTTGAGGCAAAATTTACTCTTGCACGTATGATTCAGGGAATGTTTAGTTGCACTTAACGAGTAAGTCATACTTGATTTTAAGTTTACTAATAAAATTTACTTTTCTGGAAAGTAAGTTGAGGTAGCTTTTAAGCACAGTGAAACACGTTCTACGTAAAATCATTAGTGAAAGCACTAATGTTTACCATATATTTCATATCAATCAGTACCTACACTTCCAATAAAATATGATTTAAAAGTATTGAAAAGCAAAATCCCTAAAGGACGAGCTTTTGGTGTTTTGAGGAATTTAGGTGACCTTTAGATGAAAGGATCCCATAGTTATGATAATCATCTTCTATTGGCGTATGCTGTCTGTAAGTATTTGAGCCTGTTCTTTCATCTAGGTCACGACTGTTTTCCAACCATTTCTAGATGTGTATATCTGTTATTTCTTATTTTGCTAATATAAATATAATTTTCCAGGTTAATCCAAGTATTTTAGGTCTCAGATTGAATTTAAAAAATAAACCATAAACTCACGATTTGGATAGTGTTTCATGTCATTCATTTTGTTGACACGCTTTCTACCTTGCCAGGTGAATAATGAAGCAGCTGTGCTAGGTTTTGTAGGGGCTCCGTTCACTCTGGCATCATATGTTGTTGAAGGAGGTTCCTCAAAGCATTTCTCAAAAATAAAGAGACTGGCGTTTTCACAACCGAAGGTAAAATTATGTTGCTCATCTGCTAACCTTCACTGTGTACATGTGATATATTTCTAATTATACTAGTTAGGGAAGTGATTTGCTGCCGTTTCTGGTTCAGTAAAAAAAAAANTTTTTTTTTTGTTGGTTTGGCTTAAATTTGCAGAATCATTATGGCTGAGTTCAGCAGTATCAGTTTTTCTAGCAGTTGTGTTTGTTGGGATATGCTCAGTGATGGCTATTACTGCAATAGTAAAAGGGGAAACCGTTAGTCCAAAATTGGTTCCCCAATTGGATAATGGAACTTCCTTTTTCGACCTTTTCACAGCAGTACCAGTAATCGTGACAGCATTTACATTTCACTTCAATGGTAAGAGAATGTTGTTTTTTCCTAAAAAATAGGTAGAATACAAACTACACTCATAAATCCTTTTGATCTTCTCATATAATTCTCTTGGCTTTATATTGTAGATTTTAAGTATATTTTCTTGTTCAAAAGGATTTGATGCATTGTTTTAGAGAAATGGTCAAAGTGGTGCATTAATTTTGTGTAGAAGATGAACACATTGGAAATGTGAGGCCATAATAGAATGAATGAGATAAGAAATGAGAATATATATCAGAGACTTATGTTCATAAGAGTGACGTGATCTGCATAAAGCAAATTACCAAACGTTTAACATGTGGTTTAGAAAGATCTTCTATTCAATGTACCAACACATGAATATGGAGAAGGAATCGACCTCGCCTTTCTTTTTGTCGGTTTTGACCCGACATTCTCGCCCTAGTGGTTTCTGATAGCTATTACTTTCAAATTGATGCAGTTCATGCAATTGGAGTTGAGATGGGGAAACCAGCTGATATGCTTTATGCTGTCAAAATAGCTTTAGCACTCTGTGCTGCAATCTACTTCACCATCGGCATTTTCGGGTACCTTCTATTTGGGGAATCCACCATGGATGACATTCTAGTGAACTTTGATCAGAGTTCAGGTTCGGCCATAAATTCGTTGCTCAATGATTTGGTTCGACTGAGTTATGCATTCCATCTAATGCTGGTGTTTCCACTCTTGAACTTCTCCCTGAGGACAAATATTGATGAATTTCTGTTCAGTACTAAGAAGCCTGTTCTAGCAGCAGACAGCAAAAGATTTTTGGTCCTCACTTTTGCTTTGTTAGCATTGGCCTATGCTGCAGCCATAACCATACCAAGTATTTGGTATTTCTTCCAGTTTGTGGGATCAACTTCTGCAGTCTGCCTAGCATTCATATTTCCTGGTGTCATTGCATTAAGGTATTCGATCTTTCATTGACTGGGGGGTCGAGTCGCATGCCTTCTTCAAAATTTGCATTTTCTACTTTATTTTTATTCTGATCGAGTATCGATAAATAACCCATCCTGGTCATGATTATAGAACAAACAAATTCTTGTTCTTACCTTGTGACTTGTTTTTCTTCCACAGAGATATTCATGGTATTTCTACATCAAGGGACAAGATCATAGCAGCAATCATGATAACTCTTGCAGTAATTACAAGCACAATAGCTATTTCTACAAATATATATAAGTTTTTCAGAAATACTTAATATTATTCTTGATATGTGAGTTTCATGTATGCTCATGTAATCTTTTATATCGCGGTTTTGTAAATTTTCTGTATCAATATTTTCAAACTGATAAGAGAAATAATACAGTTTAAGCAAATTAAAGTTTTAAGTATAAGTAAATGTCACGTTTGATTAAGGCCTTGTCTGGGAGAGATTCTCCCCAGATTTCTATCCAAATTATTACCGTTAGTGAGCCCTGGCTGTGAGTTAGGAGAGTGAACAAGTGCGGTTGAAAGGGTTGTAACGGTAATATTTGTGCTTAAAATCTGGAAAAAAAGCAATACCGGACAGTGCCTAAGCTAAAGCTTCACTCATTTCCCACGCTCAGCCTCTCCCACCCTCCGGTTCCACATTGTTGGCTATGTGGTCTCTATACTACGTGTAGAGTTATCTTTGCAAACTAAAAGCTTTTATTGTTGGGTTGATCCAGGCACAACACATAAACGTAACTCTAAGATTGCTTTTGGTAGCAATTTTTCACAAAAAAAAAA